CTTTTCTCTCTGACTGTCCCTTCCCACTTTGCGGATGGTAAGAATGTCCAGGAGTGACATTTTGATGCAATTAAAACAATTCCAGGGCTGAAGAGATGGTTCAGTGGTTAAGGGCACTGACTGCCCTTCCAGAGGACCCGGGTTCAATTCCCAGCAGTCACATGGCAGCTCACAACTGTCTGTAATTCACAGTTCCAGGGGACCCAACACCCATGGCAAAATACCAATGCACATAAAATAAAAATAAATAAATTAAAAACAAATTAAAACAATATCATTCATTTTTTTTGTGTTCTTTTTTCAAGAACACAAGACGAGGTTGGCATTGAACACACTAAGATCCACCTGCCTCTGCCTCTTGAGTGCTGGGACTAAAGTCAAAACAATTTCTTAACACTTGTTATTTATTCATGTGTGGGTTTACATGTATCATGGTACATGAGTGATGGTAAGAAGACAACTTGTGGGAATGGGTTCTTTCCTTCTACCATGTGAGTCCTGGGGATTGAACTCAGGTCACCTGTCAGGTTTGGCAGCAGGTGCCCTTACACACAGAGCCACCTTGCCATCCCTTGATGCTATGCCAGAAACTAATTCAGCCCCACCACACACAGAAAAGAAGCACATCTAAACTTTATTTGTACTTTGCTAGCCAACAGAACTTAACTCCTCCCACGACTCTTGTCATTGTTGCCTTCTTTGTAGCAAGCTTGTAGACAAGGTAGGTGTGGGTGTGTGGACACTGATTACAAAGGGCAATCCATAAGCTAGGAGCCAGCTGCTTCAGGAAAAGATCTGATGAACTGTCATCTTCTGACTTGCTTTATTACTGGTTTAAAGTCACATGAAGTAGCCAAGTTTTGGATCTGTTCAGGGAAGAGAAGAGTCCATGGCCAAGTAGAGGATGGGACTTCTGGAGGGTGTGTTTCTTCATCACGGCGGGATAGAGAGAAGAATATGTTCCCTGAAGGATGGAAAACACACATTTTTCTTTTATGATTCAGAATATAGAAGCATGGCTAGGGTGCAGCTCTGTTGGCAGAGCGCTTGCTAAACGTAGTCCTGGAGGCAGCCACCAGCGCAGCATGAACCGGGGATGGTAGGACACACCTGTCACCCCAGTGCTCAAGAGGTGGAGGCAAGAGGATCACAAGTTCATGTCATCCTCAGTTATAGAGCAAATTTGAGGGAAGCTTAGGATCTATACGATGATATCTCAAAAGAATGGGGATGGAGAGAGAAGTCTGAGAGATGCCTTAGTGGTCAAGAGCACTTGCTGGTCTTACAGAAGACCCGGGTTTGGTTCCCAGCACTCACACGGTGGCTTATAGGCATCCATCACTCCAGTGTCGTGGGATCCAGTGCCCCCTTCTGGCCTCCATGAGTACCTACACTCATGTCCACAGCCCCATAATTAAAAAATGATAAAAAATGAAAACTTAAAAGATAGAATTATGAATGGGAGTGAAATTTTTCTCCTGTTACCCTGTTTCTTAATCATGTAGTTTTTCCTATCCTTGGAGGTAACTGATATCATTGTTCCTTCTGCTTCCAGAGGTATTTCATACACACAAACAAATAGCCAATATGTAAGTCTACTCAGTGTGAGATACGGTCTCACTCTGTAACAGTTGCCCTGGGTTACTCAATCACATATCACAGGATGGTTTAGAACTCGTGGAAATCCTCCTGAGTTCTGGTATTCCAGGCATGCATCACAGCTCTCCACTCCCCCTTTCTACAAAGAGGCATGCAGGGTTGGCCTGCCCTCCAGTGCTGCTTTGTGTGTGTGTGTGTGTGTGCTTACCAATATATCTTGAAACTTATTTTGCAACAGCAACCCTTTTGTTGTTACTGCTGTGTAGTCTTTGAATGCCCTACAGTTCCTTGCTTTGTACATGTGGATATTTAGTTCATCTCCAATCTCTTCCTATACAAATCCCTATGCTATGTTCATGCATGCAAGGATGGCGGTGGGATAAATTCCTAGAAATCCTAGTGGGTTAAAGGGAATGAAGAGCTATGCTTTTTATAGATGACATAGTAAAAAGGAGTGAATTAGTTCAGATTTGGGAGAAAAATTCCAAGCCTTCTGCACCCATGGCCAGCAAGCAGAGTCCTCCTTAGAGAAGTCATAAACCCAAAGCAACAGGCCCGCGTTGGAGAGTTGAGATGGCACAAGAGCACTGGAAAGCGAGGCCTTTCTTCTGTATGCTCCTGAGTGAATTCACTCAGCTGCTGCATACTAGAAAGGGCCCTGGTTGGGAAGACTCTTCAGACAATTGTCTCACCATCACACTGATTGTATCTTTCACGCCTTGCAATAAAGGCTGATCCTATTTTTTGCCAGAAGATAGAGCTAGTGACATCAAGCTGCTCTTGACTGCCCTCCTTTACCATTCTAAATTCTAAACCCACTGACCATCAAAGTGACTCCTGTTGCTATCCCACCCAAGCCAAACATTCCTGATATTTTAAAATATCACATGGGGGCTTGTTCAATGACAGAGCATTTGACTAGTGTTCAGTCCTGGATTCAATTCCCAGTAACAAACGCACACGAACTGCCAAGAACTCAAACAGTAACAAATGCACTCGCACCTCCAAAATCTCAAAGGCCACCCCAGCATGATGTTCTTGCTCATAAAACTTCAACCATATTACTTAAGATCACACACACACACACACACACACACACACACACACACACACACACACACACTGGGTCTTGATAAGTATCCCAGGCTAGTCTTGAACTCAAGATCCTTCTGCCTCAGCCTCCTAAGTAACTGTTAAAAGTTAATTTGAGAATCTCTGTGAGTTCGAGACCAGCCTGGTCTACAAGAGTGAGTTCCAGGACAGCCTCCAAAGCCACAGAGAAACCCTGTCTCAAAAAAACAAAACAAAAAAGTTAATTTGATTATATTTCTGGGAATCCTCATAAAAGGATTGAAATTTTTTGTGGGTGTGGTAGTGTGTATGTATATGTGAGTGTAGGTATGTGTGCATGTATGTGCTGGCACTCATGTACATGTGTGAATACATGTCGAGGCCAGAGGTCAATGTTGGCTGTTTATCCTCAATTGCTTTTCAACTTTAGATTTTTTTGAGACGGAGGTTTCTCTGTGTAGCCTTGACTGTCCTGGAACTCACTCTGTAGACCTTGAACTAACAAAGATCCACCTGCCTCTGCCTTCCAAGTGCTGGGGTTGAAGGCATACACCACTACCACCAGGCCTTTCCAACTTTAGAGAATTAATTTTATGTGTTTGGGTGTTTCACCTGTATGTATAGCTGTGTACCATGTGCATGTAATATCCACAGAAGCCAGAAGAGGGCATTAAATCCCCTAAAACTGGAGTTGTGAGCTACCATGTGGGTGCTGGGAATGGAACCTTGGTTCTCTGGAAGAGTAATCAGTGTTCCTAAATGCTGAGCCATCTCTATGGACTGTCTGCCTCCCTTTTAAACCAAGCAGAAAGGTATGGCTTCTTTAGAGACAGTTGCATACCAATCAACATGCTAGAATACTAAAGATGGATGCTGGGACTCAAACTCGGGTCCTCTGGAAGAGCAGTACATGCTCTTAACCACTGAGCCAGCTCTCTAGCCTCCTCTACTCCCTTTTTATATGGTGGGATAGGCGATGCTGGCAGGTGGTCTGTGAGCAGAAGTGATGTGTACAAAGCTTGTGAAGTGTTCTCAAAGGCAGAGGGTGTGCCCTTCTGCTGCCCTTTATCTTTCCTGCTGCTGACTACAATGGAGACATAGGAGCTGGAGCTAAAGTATCCATCTTAGCCAACCTGGGATATACTGGTCATCCACAGTGGGACACAAAGGGATGCTACCCAGACCTGAGTGTCTCTGACCGTTTCCTTCTAGATTTGTACAAAGGAGCAAAATCAATTTCTGTTAATCAGTCATTATTATTTTAAATTTTCTGCCACTTTTAGTTGAGTCCAGTGCTAAGTGACATAGTCCCTGGACTTAAGAAAACACAATTCCACACTCTTCCCCCTCATGTAGCCCAGGCTGACTTAGAATTTGCAATTTAACTCTCTCTCTCTTCACACAAGGCTGTTCTGCTCTCCCCTTTTCTATCTCCTCTCCCCACCCAATGAACTCTTTCTTTTCTCTTTTTTCCTTTATCTTTTCTTTTTATCTTTTTTTCTTTTGGTTTTTCAAGACAGGGTTTCTCTGTAGGTTTGGAGACTGTCCTGGAACTCTCTTTGAAGACCAGGTTGGCCTTGAACTCACAGAGATCTTCTTGCCTCTGCCTCCCAAGTGCTGGGATTAAAGGTGTGTGCCACCACCATCTGGCCCCCAAAATACTTTTTAAATGAAAAAAAAATTTTGCTACATAGCTGAGGATGACCTTGAACTTCTGATCCTCCTACTTCTACCTTCCGCCCGCCTGGGTTATGGGTGTGCACCATATTGTCCATTTTTATGTGGTGCTGGGGATGAGAGCAGGCTTCAAGCATGCTAGATATGCAGTCTACCAACTGAGCTACATCTCTAAGCCATGGGTTATCTATCTTTTTTCATTTCCTTCTTAACTTTATTTATTGTGGTGGCGCACGCCTTTAGTCCCAGCACTCGGGAGGCAGAGGCAGGCAGATCTCTGTGAGTTTGAGGCCAGCCTGGTCTACAGAGCAAGTTCCAGGACAGGCTCCAAAACAATACAGAGAAACCCTGTCTTGAAAAACAACACAAAACAAAAACAACAAACAAAAGAACCCCAAAACCAAAAAAACCCCAAACCCCCAAAACCCAAAAAACAACTTTATTTATTTTTATGCTTTCATATTTGAGAATATCATATATGTATGCAATGAAATATGTTCACAACCATCCCCTTTCATTTGAATCATTAACATCGCTTTTGGAAAGGAAGGAAAACCCTGCTTCACTGATGACGTCGTCACAGCGAAGCAAAGCCACAGCTCACAAACTGTGCTCTACTGAGGGCTATTCATTGATGATGGCGCTGGGCTTCATCATTCTTCTGCTTCAAAGGCGGTGGTGAGGTAGTCCTTTGGAACAATCCCGATGAGGCTGTTCAGCTCTCCTACCCACCAGCCGTACATGTTGTACTCCTGAAAAGGGAAAAGAAGATGGCGGTGGTTGGAGAAATGCTTCCATAAACCTCACACAGTGATGGTGGGGGTCTGTGGCTGGATTCTTTGCTGGCTGCCAGAATGAACTGTGAATACCTTCCATGGGATTATTATGTTTAACAAAGTCATCTAGAGGAGAAAAGTAAGTGTGTCCATTTCACTCTCACCCTGTCTACATACTTAATGCTGTTGCTGAACCTAACAGCTTTTAAAAAATTGTTTTTAATTATACTGTGATGTGTGTGTGTGTGTGTGTGTGTGTGTGTGTGTGTGTGTGTGTGTGCATGTGTAAGTACAGGTGTCCTTGGAGGGCAGAGGAGTCAGATCTCCTAAGATGGTTGTGAGCTACTTGATATGGGTGCTGGGATTTGAACTCAGGTCTTCTGGAAGAGCAGTATGTGCTCTTAGGTGCTGAGCCATTTTTCTAGACCCCTTCTCTTTAACCAAGCAAATGCTATGGCTACTTCAGAGAAGTCTGAACACTAACTAAAATGCCAGAACACTAAAGACGTTCAGGGTGGCAGGTCATAGTTCAAATCAATACTATCCATCAAGCATCTTCCTTGTGCAAAGTGTATCTGGGTTTCCTCAAGGGACAGAATGATGAGTCAAAACACTGCTTGTTCTTTGGGAGTTTATAGGATAGAGTAATGGCCTTTGGAGTCATATAGGCTGGGCGTAAATCCTCGGTTGGCCACTTAGCAGCCTTGTGACCTTCGGTTTCTCCTAGTTTTGCCTTCCTGATCTGCATTCCTCCTCTCCATGCTGTGAGGATGGAAGCAGCACCGTAGAATAGAACAATAGAAAGTGCTGTACAGATGGTGTTCGTCTTCTTCTTCTTCTTTTTTTTTTTTTTTTTTTTTTTTTTTTTTTTTTTTTTGGTTTTTTTTAGACATGGTTTCTCTGTGTAGCCCTGACTGTCCTGGCATCTGCTTTGCGGACCAGTTTGGCCTGGAACTCACAGAGATCCACTTGCCTCTGCCTTTCAAGTGCTGGTATTAAAGGTGTGTGCCATCACTGCTCGGCTACAGATGGTGTTCTAAGCCTTAGATTCGTCCCTAGGAGAGGTGCGAGATACAGCAATAATGACAGGCAGGTAATAAATGATAGAGGGGAGCAAATAAGAAAGGGCCCGAGAGCCTTTTATTTCAGTTGGGTGTGGGGACCCTGATGCTACCCACATTTTACACTGCTGGTGGCTGAGCTTTAGGGGAAAGAAGAGAAACCAGGTTGGGGACACGGTCAATTCAGGCTCTCTAGCTTTAACTGGTGACCTTTTTGTTGCTGGTGTTATTCTTCTTCTCCAACTCCACTGCTTCTTCTCACTCAGCAGCTCCCTTCCTCCACTTTCAAAGAGAAAAGAGATGGCCAGATGTTTTTGTGTGCATCTCCTGCAGCCGAGGAACTTGCCTGTACTGACGGCATTCCCTGTCCCATTCAAGTAGGGGATACACCCCTCTCCTGGCCTAACCCCTCCTCCCTTCTCCATCCTTTCATCCTTTCTTCCCTCCCTCCCTACTCCCCCCTGTCCTTTCCTCCCTTCCTCTGTTTATTTCATGGAGTCTGACCTCTGCCTCTCACATAAATGACTCTTTCCCATCAGCTCTAAAATGTGCACATCTCTTTCACTGTTGAAAACAATTATTAATCTCCATTGCATGCCTGCTTCCCATGTCTGTTAGTTTACACTGACCTCCACCTCAGACTTCCTGATTTACTTCTTTCGTTTACTGCCCAGGCTCTTCCTGGCTACTCACCCTTCCAGCTACTCTGATCCAGCCTTTGCCTCCGTCACTCCACGTTTACTTATTTATTTGTTTTTTCCAGACAGAGTTTCTCTGTGTAGCCCTGGCTGTTCTGGAACTCAATCTGTAGACCAGAGAGATCTGCCTGCTTCTGCCTCCCGAGTGATGGGATTAAAGGCGTGCACCACCATCATCAGGCATCTTCTCTTTGATGTGTTTTCTAGGGTCTGTCCTAGCCCTGTTCTGATTTACAATCTCATGTACCTTTGTAGTTTAACCACCATGTTATTGTGAATGGCATATGAACAATTAAGGACTCCAGCACAGATACAAGAGCTGGGTCCCAGGACCTGAGTGTAGACTTGGGAAATAATAGCTCAGTCAGAAAAGTGCCTGCTTTCTAAGAACGAGGACCTGAGTTTGATCCCCAGGACCTACATAAAAAATCTGGGCATGATGGTACACCCTTGTAATGCCAGGGCTGTGAAGGCTGAGACAGGTGGCTGCCTGGAACTTGCTGGCCAAACAGACTATTTGGCGATCTCTAGGTCAGTGGGAAATCTTCTCTCAAAAAACAAGATGGACAACCAAGATTGTTCTCTGACATCTACACACAGGTGCAGCTGCATATATGGGCACACACACAAGACAACAAACAGCCCCGTCAAAAAGTAAAACACTATGCTGGGTGGCGGTGGCGCATGCCTTTAATCTCAGCACTTGGCAGACAGAGGCAGGCGGATTTCTGAGTTTGAGGGCAGCCTGATCTATGGAGTGGGTTCCAGGACAGCCAGGGCTACACAGAGAAACCCTGCCTGGAAAAACAAAACAAAACAAAGCAAAGCAAAAAAAAAATAATACCCCAAATACATGCCCACCAAGCTGTTGAAAGCTCAGTATGCCCTAAATTTAACCCATCAGCCCACTCCTATCCCCATGACCACACCCCAGCTCTCTTTACTTCCTAAGTTCTTGACCTCAGTGAGTAACACCAAGATGCCCTCACTTATTCAGGGCAGAAAACAGGATCCTTCCCAACTTCACCCCTACCTTCTGGTCAATCTTATTAGTTCGCTCTTCAAAACTTTACTGACGTCTACCCACTTCTCCATCCCCATTGCCAGGATCTTCGAGTCACATCACTGTACGAGGACTACAGAAACGCTCTGCAATTGTTCTCGGTGCCTGCACCCTTGTTTCCCTCAACCCGCTCTTCATCCTGTAGCCAGAATGCTGTAACTGCACAGACAATGCTGCTACCCTGCTAGGAACCTTTAGTGTGGGTTCCCACTGCCCTTGACAGCTTCTTTTTTGAGACAGGGGTCTCTCTACACAGTCCTGGCTGTACTGGAACTATGTTGACCAGGCTGGCCTCGAATTCACAAAGATTTATATGCTTTTGCTTCCTGAGAGCTAGGATTAAAGGCGTGCACCACCATGCCCAGCTCTTGCCACTGCCTCCTCCTCCTTCTCCTCCTCCTCCTCAAGACAGGGTTTCTCTGTGTAGCACTAGCTGTTCTGAAATTCACTCTGTAGAACCAGGCTGGTCTTGAACTCACAGAGATCCATCTGTCTCTGCCTCCTGAGATTCTTTGCTGGCTGCCAGAATGAACTGGTATTCACAGCCTTTTTTTGGTATCCAAAAACATAATAATCAGCCCTTCTTGCCAACCAGGGGATGAAATCTGATTTATCTCTCCAGCCCCTTAACAAATCTTTTTTTTTTTTTTTTTGGTTTTTGGAGCCTATCCTGGCACTCGCTCTGGAGACCAGGCTGGCCTCGAACTCACAGAGATCTGCCTGCCTCTGCCTCCTGAGTGCTGGGATTAAAGGTGTGCGCCACCAACGCCCGGCTCGCCAACTTCTTAACAAGGTGGATGAGGCCCCTTGTCCCCCTGTCCTGTTCAGTGCCTGGTGTTGCCATCCACCTCCTTAATAAAACAGAATTCGCCTTGGCTACTTCCACAGGCTACAGGCTCTCTATCCTGGGCTACTTCCACAGGCTACAGGATCTTTTTTGCTTGGGACCTTTCTTCTGCTTTTACAGATCCTTCTTCTCCATGTCATAGGACTTCTTCCTCCTCCTTGGCGTCCTCCTCCTCCTCAAGACAGGGTTTCTCTGTGTAGCACCGGCTGTCATGGGACCTAAAGCCTTCAGATTTAAATTCCTGAGTTTCATGCCGAGATGTAGCCCTCTGCCACTCCATAGTCTACAGTGAAGAACCCTATGCTTTCTCAGAAAAGAGTTCACCTTGCTGCCTTCGACAACACTAGTTATTAGATGGGATGTGCTCTCTCTCTTGTTTCTTTCTAGACAGGGTTTTGTGCTTCCTGAGTGCTGGGACTATAGGTGTTCACCACCACACCTGGTTTAGATATATTCTAGTTTCATTGTGTTGCTGTAATAAAACACTCTGACCAAAAGCAATTTAGGGGAATGTGGTGGTTTGAATGAGAATGGCCGCCACAGGCTCACATATTTGCATGCTTAGTCCACAGTTGATAAACATTTTGAGAAGGATTAGAAAGTTTGGCTTTATTGGAAGAAGTGTGTCACTGGGAGTAGGCTTTGAGGTTTGAAAAGCCCATGACAGGCCCAGTCTCTCTCTCTCTCTGCCTGCTGCCTGCAGATCAGGATGTAAAGCCCTGCCTGTCTGCTTCCTGTCATGATGATCATGGACTAAAGTCCTGTGAAACTGTGAGCAAGCCCTCAGTTAAATGCTTTCTTCATGAGTCGCCTTGGTCATGGTGTCTCTTTACAGCAATAGAACAGTTACTGAGACAAGGATAAAAGGGTTTGTTCCATCTTATACTTCCAGGTTACAGTCTTTAACTGAGGACAGGAACTCAAGGCAGGAAATGTGGAGGAATGTTTCTTGCTGGCTCACAGACGGGCAGGCTTACAGGCAAGCACTTAGCTAGCTTTCTTATACAGCCCAGGACCAGCTGCCTATGGATGGTACCCTGCTATTTCATTTAAGACCATCAAGACAGGGCTGGAGAGATGTCTCAGTGGTTAAGAGCCCTGGCTGCTCTTCCAGAGGACCCAGGTTCCATTCCCACATGGTGGCTCATAACTAACCATAACTCCAGTTCCGGGGGTTCCAATGTCCTCTCTTCTGCATGCACCAGGCACCCAAGATGGTATACAGACATATTTGCGAAGCCAGTCACTCATACACACAAAAAAGACCATGAAGACAATTTTATCATAGACATGACCACAGACAGCAT